TTATTGTTCGTAGATTTTTTGGTGATGGCCATTCTGACTGGTGTGAGGGGATACCTCATTGTAGTTTTGATTTGCACCTCTCTAATGATTAGTGGCGTTGAGGATCCTTTCATGTGTTTGTTGGCAATCTATATATCTTCTTTGGAGAAATGTATATTTAGGTCTTCTGCCCATTTTTGGATTGGTTTTTTTGTTCTTTTGATACTGAGCTGCATGAACTGCTTGTAAATTTTGTAGATTAATCCTTTGTAAGTTGCTTCATTTGCAAGTATGTTCTCCCATTCTGAGGGTTGCCTTTTCATCTTGTTTATGGTTTCCTCTGCTGTGCAAAAGCTTTTAAGTTTCATTAGGTCCCATTTGTTTATTTTATTTTTTTATTTCCCTTTCTCTAGGAGGTGGGTCAAAAAGGATCTTGCTGTGATATATGTCATAGAGTGTTCTGCTTATGTTTTCCTCTAAGAGTTTTATAGTGTCCAGTCTTACATTTAGTTCTTTAATACATTTTGAGTTTATTTTTGTGTATGGCATTAAGGAGTGTTCTAATTTCATTCTTTTATAAGAGGCTGTCCAGTTTTCCCAGCACCACTTATTGAAGAGGCTGTCTTTTCTCCATTGTATATTCTTATTTCCTTTATCAAAAATAAGGTGACCGGATGTGAGTGGGTTTATCTCTGGGCTTTCTATCCTGTTCCATTGATCTATCTTTCTGTTTTTGTGCCAGTACCATACTGTCTGGATTATTGTAGGTTTGTAGTATAGTCTGAAGTCAGGGAGCCTGATTCCTCCAGCTCTGTTTTTCTTTCTCAAGATTACTTTGGTTTTCAGGGTCTGTTGGGTTTCCATACAAATTGTGAAGATTTTATTCTAGTTCTGTGAAATATGCCAGTGGTAGTTTGATAGGGGTTGCATTGAATCTGTAGATTGCTTTGGGTAGTATAGTCATTTTCACAGTATTGAGTCTTCCAATCCATGAACATGGTATATCTCTCCATCTGTTTGTATCTTCTTTAATTTCTTTCATCAGTGTCTTATACTTTTCTGCATACAGGTCTTTTGTCTCCTTAGGTAGGTTTATTCCTAGGTATTTTATTCTTTTTGTTGCAATGGTAAATGGGAGTGTTTCCTTAATTTCTCTTTCAGATTTTTCATCATTAGTGTATAGGAATGCAAGAGATTTCTGTGCATTGATTTTGTATCCTGCTACTTTACCAAATTCATTGAGTAGCTCTAGTAGTTTTCTGGTAGCACTTTTAGGATTCTCTATGTATAGTATCATGTCATCCGAAAACAGTGACAGCTTTACTTCTTTTCTGATGGATTCCTTTCATTTCTTTTACTTCTCTGATTGCTGTGGCTAAAATTTCCAAAGCTATGTTGAATAATAGTGGTGAGAGTGAGCATCCTTGTCTTGTTCCTGATCTTAGAGGAAATGGTTTCAGTTTTTCACCATTGAGAACGAGGCTGGCTGTGGGTTTGTCATATATGACCTTTATTATGTTGAGGTAAGTTCTCTCTATATCTACTTTCTGGAGGGTTTTTATCGTAAATGGGTGTCGAATTTTGTTGAAAGCTTTTTCTGCATCTATTGAGATGATTATATGGTTTTTCTCCTTCAGTTTGTTAATATGGTTTATCACATTGATTGATTTGCGTATATTGAAGAATCCTTGCATTCCTGGGATAAACCCCACTTGATCATGGTGTATGATCCTTTCAATGTGCTGTTGGATTCGGTTTGCTAGTATTTTGTTGAGAATTTTTTGCCTCTATGTTCATCAGTGATATTGGCCTGTAGTCTCTTTTTTTGTGACATCTTTTTCTGGTTTTGGAATCAGCGTGATGGTGGCCTGGTAGAATGAGTTTTGGAGTGTTCCTCCCTTGGCTATAAATTGGAAGAGTTTGAGAAAGATAGGTGTTAGCTCTTGTCTAAATGTTTGATAAAATTCACCTGTGAAGCCATCTGGTCCTGGGCTTTTGTTTGTTGGAAGATTTTTAATCACAGCTTCAATTTCAGTGCTTGTGATTGGTCTGTTTATTTTTTCTATTTCTTCCTGGTTCAGTCTTGGAAGGTTGTGCTTTTCTAAGAATTTGTCCATTTCTTCCAGGTTGTCCAATTTTTTGGCATATAGTTTCTTGTAGTAATCTCTCATGATCCTTTGTATTTCTGCAGTGTCAGTTGTTACTTCTCCTTTTTCATTTCTAATTCTATTGAGTTGAGTCTTCTCCCTTTTTTTCTTGGTGAGGCTGGCTAATGGGTTATTAATTTTATTTATCTTCTCAAACAACCAGCATTTAGTTTTATTTACCTTTGCTATTGTTCTCTTCATTTCTTTTTCATTTATTTCTGATCTGATCTTTATGATTTCTTTCCTTCTGCCAACTTTGGGGTTTTTTTGTTCTTCTTTCTCTAACTGCTTTAGGTGTAAGGTTAGGTTGTTTATTTGAGATGTTTCTTGTTTCTTGAGGTAGGATTGTATTGCTATAAACTTACTTTTTAAAACTGCTTTTGCTGCATCCCATAGGTTTTTGGTCGTCACGTTTTCATTGTCATTTGTTTCTAGGTATTTTTTGATTTCCTCTTTGATTTCCTCAGTGATCTCTTGGTTATTTAGTAGTGTATTGTTTAGCCTCTGTGTGTTTGTATTTTTTACAGATATTTTCCTGTAATTGATATCTAGTCTCATAGCATTGTGGTCGGAAAAGATATTTGATATGATTTCAATTTTCTTAAATTTACCAAGGCTTTATTTGTGACCCAAGATATGATCTATCCTGGAGAATGTTCCATGGTCACTTGAGAAGAAAGTGTATTGTGCTGTTTTTGGATGGCATGTCCTAGAAATATCAATTAATTCCATCTTGTTTAATGTATCATTTAAAGTTTGTGCTTCCTTATTTATTTTCATTTTGGATGATCTGTCTATTGATGAATGTGGGGTGTTAGACTCCCATACTATTATTGTGTTACTGTCGATTTCCCCATTTATGGATGTTGGCATTTACCTTATGTATTGAGGTGCTCCTATGTTTTGTGCATAAATATTTACAATTGTTATATTTTCTTCTTGGATTGATCCCTTGATCATTATGTAGTGTTCTTCTTTGTCTCTTGTAATAGTCTTTATTTTAAAGTCTATTTTGTCTGATACGAGAATGCTACTCCAGCTTTCTTTTGATTTCCATTTGCATGGAATATCTTTTTCCATCCCCTCACTTTCAGTCTGTATGTGTCTCTAGGTCTGAAGTGGGTCTCTTGTAGACAGCATATATATGGGTTTGTTTTTGTCTCCATTCAGCCAGTCTATGTCTTTTGGTTGGAGCATTTAATCCATTTACATTTAAGGTAGTTATCAGTATGTATGTTCTTATTACCATTTTCTTAATTGTTTTGGGTTTTTTATTGTAGGTCTTTTCCTTCTCTTGTGTTTCCTGCCTAGAGAAGTTCCTTTAGCATTTGTTTTAAAGCTGGCTTGGTGGTCCTGAATTCTCTTAGCTTTTGCTTGTCTGTAAAAGTTTTAATTTCTCCATTGAATCTGAATGATATGCTTGCTGTGTAGAGTAATCTTGGTTGTAGCTTCCTCCTTTTCATCACTTTAAATGTGTCCTGCCACTTCCTTTTGGCTTGCAGAGTTTCTCCTGAAAGATCAGCTGTTAACCTTATGGGGATTCCCCTGTATGTTATTTGTTATTTTTCCCTTGTTGCTTTTAATATTTTTTCTTTGTTTTTAATTTTTGGTAGTTTGATTAATATGTGTCTTGGTGTGTTTCTCCTTGGATTTATCCTGTATGGGACTGTCTGCACCTCCTGGACTTGATTGACTATTTCTCTTCCCATATTTGGGAAGTTTTCAACTATAATCTCTTCAAATATTTTCTCAAACCCTTTCTTTTCCTCTTCTTCTTCTGGGACCCCTATAATTCTAATGTTGGTGTGTTTAATGTTGTCCCAGAGGTCTCTGAGACTGTCCTCAATTCTTTTTATTCCTTTTTCTTCATTCTGCTCTGTTTTAGTTATTTCCACTATTTTACCTTCCGGGTCACTTATCTGTTCTTCTGCCTCAGTTATTCTGGTATTGATTCCTTCTGGAGAATTTTAAATTTCATTTATTGTGTAGTTCATCATTGTTTGTTTGCTCTTTATTTCTTCTAAGTCCTTGTTAAACGTTTCTTGTGTTTTCTCCATTCTATTTCCAAGATTTTGGATCATCTTTAGTATCATTACTCCAAATTCTTTTTCAGGTAGGCTGCCTATTTCCTCTGCATTTGTTTGGTTTAGTGGGTTTTAACCTTGCTTCTTCAACTGTTGTGTGTTTCTCTGTCTTCTCATTTTGCTTAACCTACTGTGTTTGGGGTCTCCTTTTTGCAGGCTGCAGGTTTATAGTTCCCATTGTTTTTGGTGTCTGCCCCCAGTGGCTAAGGTTGCTTCAGTGTGTTGTGTAGGCCTCCTGGTGGAAGGGACTGCTGTCTGTGTTCTGGAGGATGAGGCTGGATCTTGTCTACTGGAGGGCAGGACTGTGTCTGGCTTTGTGTTTGGGGTGTCTGTGACCTTATTATGATTTTAGGCAGCCTCTCTGCTAATGGATGGCGTGTGTTCTTCTCTTGCTAGTTGTTTGGCATAGGGTGTCCAACATTGTAGCTTGCTGGTTTTTGAGAGGAGCTGGGTCTTAGCATTGAGATGGACACCTCTGGAAGAGCTTTTGCTGTTTGATATTATGTGAACCCGGGAGGTCTCTGGAGGACCAATGTCCTGAACTCGGCTCTCCCACCTCAGAGGCACAGGCCTGACACCCAGCCAGAGCACCAAGACCCTGTCAGCCACACAGCCAGTGTTAGTGAGACAAGAGATGTCTGGTCTGCAACAACTCCATGAATCTGGGATTATATCTCAGTAAATTGGATGCTTGCTGGTTCTTTTAAGAAAGTGTCCCTGGAAAAGGTGTGAGTGGTAATCACAGAAGGCTCTCAAAAGCACCATTTACTGTGTGCTTGCCACTGCCCACCATCCGGTCCTCTGTTGCCACGCCTGTCCGTTGGTCCCCGAACCTCGGAGGGAGGACGAAAGAAATGTCCCTCTGGCCGGGACAGGCCCTCATCGAGACGATGGGAAGGACTAGAGAGAGGTGCCGAGGCGGCTTCTGCCACTCCTGCTGCAGTTGCCGCCGGTTCCTCTGGGGCCGGAGGTGTCAGATAGGCCGTGTCCTTGGGATTGCGGCGCCTGGAGCGCAGCGCTCGCCTCTGCCGCAGTGGCTGAGCACTGGGGCACGGAGTGCTGGGGTGGCGAGTCTGGGCTGTTAGGCAGTGTTTCCAACAATGACAACTTGTGCACTGATGTGGTGAATAAATGAATAAAATAATACCATTAGTATTATAAAAACTCAAGTAAGTGAATATTGCTCAATAATAAATAGTTTTTATCATGTGTGTTTGAACAAAATATGGGCAAGGGAATCTTCCAAACTTTTATGAATTATGAATTAACCCATAAAAGATGTGACATTTTAAGGATTACCCAAAGAGAATATTTGATAATATGTGAGGGTCATAAAAAAGCATTGCATAAACTACTTGATAGAAGTGATAATAGCAGACATATTTGCTTACTAAGAATTAGGGGGTAATTGTAAAAATCTGAGAACTAATTGAAGAGATTTCTTTTATTGCTCTCAACTACAAAATTAAATTAAATTATTCTAAATGGTCATGTCTTAGACCTCCCAGGCCCAGCATATCAACTGATACCTGAGCCATTTCACCCATCTTCTAATTGGTACCATGACCTATCAGTGATGGTCACTGACTAGATTAATCTTATTTAAACTTTGGCTCATGATATTTTGGTTTGCCATCCTTTGACCTGAAACACATAATGTCTCTCAATCTCTACAATTAAGGTCAAATTCCTTAGTCTGATGTTCACAATCCGCTATATTCTAACTATAAATAACTGCTCTGCAGTTTTATCTTCTGTTGCAGTGAAATATAGAACCTCTATCTCAGCCATCCTAGGCTTCTTGTAGTTTTCTAAACATACATCAGGCTTTCCTGCTTTTAATGACTCTATTGCCTGCATTTGAAACACTTCTCCACTGTTTTCATCTAACAAAGTATTCATTTCAAGATGCATCTCATGTCAGTGATCTCTCAAGTAGACATAAATTCAGCTCTGCACCAAAGAGTGTATTTTATATCTGTTGTTTTTTAGTGTTATTAGGAAGATCCCTTATATTCTCAAAAATATTCTATTTTTGGTCATGTATCTGGTCATCCCAATGATTTCAGTTACTCTGGTAGAAGGAGAATCTTCCGTGGCATCAAGCCTTACCCATAATAAGAAGTTAAAGATGTTTTAAAATGAGTGAAGGAGGGAAGGATAGAGTGGAAGAAATAATTAAGGAGGGGTACTGACTAGTATGAAGATTAATCTAAGTGAAGAAACCCCACGGTCTGAAATAACTCTGGTACGACAGAGAAGAAAAAAAAGTAAATTAGCAAATTAAAAAATAGTGTATTCAAATCATGTTTAATACAGATATGAAACCTTGTGTAGTTTAGAGTTATTGCTTACTTTATTTAATGGTACCGTGCTTTCTTGTTCATATAATGTAGCTATAAATGACTTAAATTGAAAACTACCGTTATTTTAAAATGTGAAACAAATAGAAAAAGAAAACTACAGCAGAAATAGAGAGTAGAGAGTAATGATTGGGAGGACTGCCTCTGAAGGTGGACTGCAGAAGCCAGAGTCCTACGTATTCTCCTCATTAGCTGTATCATCAAAGCTGTGTCAACCGTTTCCTGCCCTCTTAGTGTCTCAGTTTCCTCATTGTGAAATGGAAATGGTACATCAGTACCAAGCACATAAGATTACTATGAGATTTTAACGTCAGTATTTGTAACACATTTAGTACAGTGCTAAGAAATTGGTAAGCCCTGTATAAATGATTGTAAATAAGATGAGTTGAAGGACAGATTTGAATGACAAAGGGTGGAGCGGGGGAAATTTTAGATGCTCTTAGAAGGTGGTGGTCTGATAGTCTTATACTTGGAAATAGCATGCTGCCAGTTTCCCTCTATAGCAATCATACAGCACTGTTGCAAGAGGTTATTTAATGAGACTTGACATCTTCCTGGACCTTATCTGAAAAACATCTGTGTAGGGCATCTTTCATCTTGGATTTCTAAAATTTCAAGAGACTTCTCTCATTTACCACCCTTTTCCATGGAATCAGTGTAGGGCAGGGCAAAAGACGGTGGAAACTTCCATTTATATCTAATTCATTATATTTTTTTCTCCAACATGTTTTCTCCAACATTTCCTACTCCGCTCTCCAGTTTAGAGGATCTTATCTTTCCAAGGACTGTAGATCTTTTACCTATTACCAAAACAATGCACGTATCAAACTACCTTCAACTCAGGAGCATAAACAATATACTTGCATGACTTCTGGTTGATGGAGGTTTCGCTCATCAAGTCTAGGTTCAGTTGGGTTTGACTCCAAGTTGCAGATTGGGTCTAGGTATGCTCTACCTTGGACCAGTGACTACCCAAGGTATGTTCTTATAGTGAAAAAACAGAAGTGAATGACTGGAAACACATCCACACAAACACATCTTAAGCCTCTGTTCACATTATGTCATGAACATCTCATTGGCTAAAATAACTCACAAGGCCATCCCCAAATTCCAGAGACTGCAAAATATACTCTGTCCATCATGAGACTATTGCAAAGAGATGGATGTATACTACAGGGAAGTGAAGAATTAGAGCTAATAATCCAAACTATCAGAGATAAGAAGAAATGAAACTTCACTCAGCCATCAATATCCCTAATTCAATTAAAATATCATATTTTGTTTCTTTTTTCATCTTTTTCCTGGATCAGGAGAGACCAAAGTCTAGTCTGAACATGGAGAAGAACGATGGAGGAAGTGAAGCTATTTTAAGGACAATACAAGTCAGCAAAAATATACAAACATAACTATAAATTTCATCATAGATTTGATTCTTCTTTGACTCCTCTGGAACTCTCTCCTCTCTTCCTCTCCTAGATTAGTGATATTTGGAAATTGGTATTATTAATCTTCTTTCCCTCCCTCTGAAACAAATGGATGTCCTGAAGTCTCACTTGGCCTGAAGACCCTAGAAGCGGGTGCTGGTTTCAAGAAGGAGCCATGTAAGGCTCAGTCCATGCCAAGAGTCTGGAAAGCAAAGCCTGTTCTAGGCATTAAGTCCAAGGGGCAGATGGAGAGCAAGAACTAGATTTGAAGTGTGAGATTCACAATGAGAGACAGGTAAGATTGTGTGAGCATTTGGATAGCTAAAGCTGGGAGATATATCTCCTAGATGCCAAGAGATAGAGCATATTTTAACAGATGCCTGTAGGTGAATCTGTTCACTGGGAGAGCGATCTTGAAAGTTTTGAGCCTGCTTATGTACATATGCCTTTTCCCCTTGCAGGTTCCTTTGATTAGAAAGATTATAAGGAACTGGAGAATGAAAGTGGAAGGCTGGCTGGTTAGCATTGCTAAATTTCATGTTTCATGGAAAGGGGGTACACATGAGGATATTTTTCCCAATATTATTTGAAAACCAAGGTTTCAAAACAAATACTACAGCTAAGAATAGAAAAATTCTTGTGTTTGAAGTACTATTACGTCAGAAAAATTAACAGGGCAGTTATTCAGGAGCATACATATGATTGATGACATGAAATCTTAAGATACAGTTCATCCCTACAACTCACTTTTGCATCCTAAGAGTGTAGAGATTTAAAGATCCAAAACACTAATGAGACATCAACTCCAACAACATGACCATTTTTTGCAATATCCCCCAGTGTACACGAAAGCATCCTCAGCTGGTGTCCTTTCACTTACTTTCTCTTCAGCTTCCCATTAGAAAGTACTTGGTCTTGCATCTGTCTCTACTTCCTGTATATGCAAGAGGAAAAATTCTTTTTCTCTTAAAAATACAATCTTCCTTTTGCCCTATTTCAACTTTATCTTACCCTTCTTACTCCCTATTCTAACTAAAAGATATCTTTACACTTAGTTATAGAAACAAATACATTTTACAATTAATCAGAAACTGAAGGTACATCTGTGAAGAATTTTCAGTGCAATAGTATGCCAAGTTAGATTGAAAAATCACTGAGAATCACTAAGGGATAAAGACACAGAGACTTATTAAGAAAATAACATATTTCTAGCAACTGACTATAGATCATAGTCACTTAAGCAGTATTGATCAAAAGATAACTCTTCCATCCATATAAAGGTGAACATTTAAGGTCCCCTGAAAAGAGTTATATCTTGAGTTTGGGATGTAGGTAGCCATAAACTTTCTAGAACTACTTAAATAAGATCCAACGCATGCTGTGGGTTTAGAAATCCAAAGCATCACTTTGCTGTGGCTACCCTTGCTAAAGGATTAGCTGCCTTGATTCACTTTGGAATGAGGTGGCATATAAATCATTTAATAAATAAGAATATTCAAAGTGCTGAATTTTTAAGAAAATAAAGTGCCTTAAGTATATCTTATGTATATCTCTTGCCTTAAAGGAATATCCTCCATAACATTAATAGAAGAAAGATTATAACAGGTCCTGAGGTAATTTCCCACTCCTTCCTAACTTCCAGTTAGGAGGAAAGATAGCATTTTGGCTTGTGGTAGGGTAGACAAATGGTCAATGTTTGTCCTCAGATGATCAAGTGAACACTGAAAAGCGCAAGGGCAAGAGGTACTCTCTGTTTCTGGCCATTCTGGTGAAAAAAGGAGCCAAGGCCTTTTATCATATAAAAAATGATGTAAAAGCCATGACAGATTAATTATACAAGAATAAATCAATGGTGGTGATCAATACCTTTAAACCTCACATTTAGATAACACTCACATTTAACTAACAGTTCAAATCAGTCTTATGTGGTTTGGCAACAGATCACTAATTTTTATGCCAGAGTAATCATAGTCATTTTAGATACAGGATTTTTGTGAGTTTAGTCTTATAGACTTTTAATAGGACAAAGGGATATTTGTGGCAGTTTTAACACCAGGAGTTACTTTAACTGACAGCCCAAATCTTCAGAGACATAAGCTCTGGTAAGAGCGTTATTAAAACCTGCTTAGAAAAAACACATTCTTAGTCAGGATGGCAGATGCATGTATGGAAATCTTGAAGTTGTATTGATCTTATCAATTTAAAAATTACAGGAATTGTATAAATACTCCAGTCAAAGCTAGCTCATCATAAGACCAGTTTATTAAATGAGTTACTTCCTTGAATGGAAA